GGAAAGAAGCAAGAGAGAGAGAGAGAGAGAGAGAGAGAGAGAGAGCGAGAGAGAGAGAGAGAGAAACAAAGAAAGTGAATAGACGGGGAGCCTGCCGGAAGCCGCAAAATATGTGTAAAAGAGCCACAAGTGGCTCCTGAGCCACAGTTTGGCCACCCTTGCTCTACACAGTAATATAGATCACAGTCCCCAATAATTTATCCAAGAAACTTAGAGAAACATTTAGTACAGTGTGATTCTATTGCTTGCATATAAAAGCCGTTATTAGCCCTTGAATGAAAGCGAAAAAAAAGATGGGTACCTGGTCCCCTCTACCTCCCCCTGAGGTACTCACAGTGCTGATGCAGTGGGGGAATCTCCTCTAGGCAAACCTTTTACGGAGGCTCCAGGCGGGTAGCCCTGTTGGTCTGAAGCAGCAGAACAAAGTTTGAGTCCAGTGGCACCTTCGAGACCGACAAAGTTTTGCTCAAGGCATCAGCTTTCGTGTGCAAGCGCCATATCCGAAGAAGCACGTGCTTGCACACGAGAGCTGATACCCTCGAATGAAACTTTCTTGATTTTTATAGAGGAATTCATTTCAGAAACGCACCACAGCAGGGTCAAGAATCACAGGGCGAAAATGCAAACCATGTAAAAATCGAGAAAAAGACAAGAGGCTGCTCACCATGGACAGGGCTATTTTGGGGCAGGAACGCACAGGAACGGAGATCCAGCTGGCTCCCAAGTTGGCCATGCCCAGCAGGAACACATTAGCATAATAGGCCACACCCAACAGCAGGAACTCATTGGGATTGGCTACATTAGGGGTGTGTGGCCTAACATGCAAAGGAGTTCCTGTTACAAAAAAAAGGCCCTGGGTTTTGACAACAAACAAGGTAAACAGAATAAGAAGCAAAAGGTGGGTGTGGCTGGATGAGCACACTTCTGTTAACATGGGGGTGTGGCCTAATGTGTTAATGAGCTGTGCTGTCAGGGGTGTGGCCCAATATGCTAATGAGTTTCTGCTGTTGGGTGTGGCCTATTATGCTAATGAGTTCCTGCTGGGCTTTTTCTACAAAAAGAGCCCTGAATGGAAGACTGCTTCTGCTGGCGTCTGCATTGTCCAGCCCTACGACTGTCCTTTGGAAGGGGCAGGTTCATCCATAGCTAGCACAATCCCACAGTCAGGTTTTGGGTTTTTTTTCCATTTGGGGCGGTTTCATTTCAATAAAATTAGACATTAGGACTGGGCGGAAATTCAGTTTCTGATCCTAACTGAAGGTAAATGTTCCCCATCTCTCTCCCCCCCAGGTCACCTAAGAACTTACCCTCGATTTGTTCTCTCCTGCAGCGGGACTCTACTTCCGGAGAACATTCAAGGAATGCCTGGCCTCCTCCCCCATCTGTAGCTTCATCCCCTTCAGCATGACCTTCCGGCCGAGCATCGCCATGCGGACGAGCTTTAACTGCTGCAGCACCGATGGGTGCAACTCCGGGCAGTCTGAACGTACGCCCTCCTTACCCACGCCTCCCCACCCAGGGTTCTGTTCAGCCGCTTTCTCTCCCACGGAATGTTATGGAAGTGGAAGGGATATGACCTAAGGAGCTGGAGAAGAAGGGGTTAAAGCCAGTTTGGTGCAGTGGTTAAGAGTATGGACTCTGATCTGGGAGAACCGGGTTTGATTCCCCACTCCTCCCCCTCCGCCTTCCTATAAGCCTCTCTGGATCTGGAAGCGCTCGGGAGGAAGCCGGTTCCGTTGTGAAGAATAAGGGTGCCGATTTCTGGGCCAGAGAACCTACCCTTTTAATCTTCCCAACTACTTAGGGCTGCCATCGTTCGGGTGGTGATACAGAGAACGGATAACAGTTGCGATAGCCAGACAATAAGACCCAAAGGAAACTGTGAAGTAGCGCTTAACAAATATAAAGTGCAATGTATTATACAAAGGGAATATCAAAACGTACAAAGTGGTAAATGTGAATCTCTGATCTGGGAGAACAAGTGGTTAAGACGCTGAACTGCAGGCTGTGGAAGGTCGGTAGTTCAGCAGTTCGAGACCCGGGTGCCGCATGACGGAGTGAGCTCCCGTCTCTAGTTCCAGCTCCTGCTAACCTAGCAGTTCGAAAGCAAGAAATTGTAAGTAGATAAATAGGTACCACTTCAGTGGGAAGGTAACAGCGTTCCGTGTGCCTTGGTGTTTAGTCATGCCGGCCACATGACCACGGAAACGTCTTCGGACAGCGCTGGCTCTTCGGCTTTGAAACGGAGATGAGCACCGCAACCCTAGAGTCGGATTCGACTGGCTTTCGAGCAAGGGAACCTTTACCTTTACCTTTAAATGTGAATAATTCATAGTTGTTGACGATGTTCTCCGGAATGATGTATCGTTTCGTTGGGACTTCCTCTGAACAACAGCGTGTCTTGTTATTCATATAACTTCAACAGATGTCTCGCACCATACTCATCTCTGAGAAATTCAGACCATTCGAAGTCATATCTATTCAGTGTGTTCTGCACGGGCAGGTGAAATGGTCGCTAGCTGTCAGATCTCAGAAGCTATCTTACAACATCCTCCCCTTGGATTTGAACCTGGATCTCCCTGGGCATAGTCTAACAGTCTAAACCACAGCTAGGTCTGAGCTAGGGTTGCCAGGTCCATTGGAGATGCCGGGGAGGATGGGGGAGATTAGCCAGGAGCCGGAAGCATTGCCCCTGACATGCCAATGCTACTGGAAGTGATGTCATGCACCATGCCTACATCACCCAGAAGTGATGCAAGCATATCAGGGGGGGACACTCTGGTTTTGGGCAAAACTCTATGGTGAAATCACCCACAAACCATAGAATTTGCCCCAAAACCAGAGCGTTGCCCCCAATGTCACCAACGTCCCCATATCTCTTCTGGGTGACGTAGGCACATCACACAACGTTGCTGTTGGGGGAGCTTTCCTCCCGCCAGAGCCTGCAAAACTGAGCAATCCCCCACCCCCAAATGGGAAAGAGAAGCAGATTCTCCAGGTCAGCTCTAGCACAGGTCTACTTCTCATTGAGGTGAGAGCAAAAGGTAACTGATTTCTGGTTTGTCCGTAGTGCCAGCAGTCTCAAGAATACCAAATGGCTTCGAGTGCCCCTCCTGTTTCGCGATAGGAGCCAGTCGGTGCCGAAACATGGATATTTTGCCGTGCTCTGGAGATGAAGACCACTGCTTTGAGATTATAGGAACACTGATGGTTGGTGAGTTCTTCTGAGTGACAGAAAGACCAGAGCAGCTCAGGAGCACAGACATGCACTCCTGCTTAGTCTACTTTGGATCAGCACAGGTGTAAGCAAATCAGGAGGCCTAAGGAATGCACCCTCCCACCCCATAGGCCCTTCTCCTCCTTGGACCCACTGTCTAGGATGGCCAGCTCTCAATTGAGAATTAACTGGAGATTTTGGGGGTTGAGCCTGAGGAAAGCAGGGCTATGGGTAGGGACTTCATTGGGGTATAAGGCCATACAGTCCATCTTCCAAAGCAGCCATGTTCTCCAGGTGAACTTATCTCTGTTGCCTGGAGATCTGTTGTAATCCAAGGAGATTCCCCAGCCACCACCTGGAAGTTGGCAACCCTACTTCACTCCCAGCTGAAGACTAGTGGGTTAGAATTACAGATGGTCTTCATCACAACGACAGCTGCATTGGGAGGACTGCACTGGCACTGTCCTACGCTTCCCAATTGTTGCTGCTGTCTGCCACCAAACTGTGGACTTGCCCTTCCAATAGCTCTGCTACAGATGGGAATTGAAAACATATGGGAAGGACATGGAGTTGGGCAGCAACTGGAAGTCTCATGCATTCGCCCATCTCTCAGAGCCCTGGGTAGCAGCTGACCATTTTGATGGCCTCTGCCCAATCAAGGGCCCAGGAAGAATGAATGCACACATGAAGCTGCCTTCTACTGAATCAGACCCACAGTCCATCAAGGTCAACAATGTCTACACAGACTGGTAGCAGCTCTCCAGGGTCCCAGGTGAAGGTCTTTCACCACAACACCTATTGCCTAGCCCTTAATTTGAGATACCAGGGATTGAACCTGGGACCTTCCGTGTGCCAAGTACGGTGTGCACTTGGTATTGACTGAGCTGAATAAATACCTGAAAAAATATCTTATTGGGTTTTTTTGGTATTTATTTAGCTAAATACAGATTAGACAATCTGATTTGGCTACCAAAACAGCCATGCCCGAATATTTTTATTCGGCTTTTATTCAGGCACAGCTAGAAAGCATTTAAAGAGACCACTGTCTCTTTAAATGCTTCTGAGTTCACTCACCAAGTTGTGCTGCTGCAGCGGTGTGACTGCGCAATTGAACTCAGAAGGCATTTAAAGTATAAATACCTTCTGAACTCACTGAGTCATGCCGCCACCATTGCACAACATGGCGAGTGAACTCAGAAGGCATTTAAACGCCTTCTGAGCTCCATTATACCCTATGGGGATGGTCCCCATAGGGTATAATGGAACTGAATAAATTCGGGCTTCCCGAATATTTACCCGAATACTAATACAATATTGATACTAGTATTCGGGAATATTCAGGAGTATTGATATTTTTCGGGTTCAACAGACCTGAACTGAGAAAGAAAACATTTTTTTTTGCACATGACTAATGCCAAACAGATGTTCTACCTCTGAGCCATGGCCCCTCCCCTTCAGGACTCAGATAGCAGCCAACAGCTAGATGTGCTTGCCTGGGGTAGCCCCACCAAGGTGTGGGTTAGTAGGTTGGCAATGATTCTGGGGGCCCATCCTTGACTTTTGCCTGGGCCCCCAGAATCAATAAGATCAACTGTGGTAAGAATAAGGGCAACAGTAGATGTCCCAGAGAAATGTTAAAGGGAGGTCACTGCTCAATGGTGCAAGCTCCATGTGAGTAGGGTTGCCCACTCCAGGCTGGGAAATTCCTTAGAAGTTTTTGGGGTGGAGCCTGAGGTGGGTGGGGTTTGTGAAGGGAATGGACCTCAACAGGGTACAATGCCATAGACTCCACCCTTCAAAGCATCCATTTTCTCCAGGTGAGCTGATCTCTGTTGCCTGGAGTTCAGTTGTGATCCCAGGAGATCTTCAGCCACCACCTGGAGGTGGACAAACCTACTTCTGAGAGAGAAGCTGAATTTCCCCCCATATACTGGAAATACGCTGGGTTGGGTGGGGGAAGTTGGTGACCAGCCATGAAGCAGTGAAATGTGTGAGGGTTCAGCTCCTCTCTCTTCCATAAGGCCCAGACATCACCCTCGCCATCTGTCTAACCATCCATGCATCCATCCGTTCATCCAAGCTTCCATCCATCCATCCATTTTCATCTTGCCTTTCTTCCAAAGACCTCAGGGTAGCACACGTGGCTCTCCTCCTTTTCTCCTCACAGCAACACTTTGAGTCAGGTTAGACTGAGAGAGAGGCCTGGACCTGAAAACATCATGGCTAGGCCATCTGCTAAGCTGTGTACATCCAATATCCTGACTGGCAAAATATCCTGACTGGCAATACAAGAACTCATGGGCACTCAACGAAATTGCTGAGCCGTTGGGTTAGAACCTATAAAAGAAAGTACTTCTTCACCCAAAGAGTGATTAACACGTGGAATTCACTGCTGCAGGAAGTGGTGTCGGCTACAAGCATGGACAGCTTCAAGAGGGAATTGGATAAACAGATGGAGCAGAGGTCCATCAGTGGCTATTAGATAGGAACTCTCAGTCTGGGGCAAGGGATGCTCTGTATTCTTGGTGCTCGGGAGAGGGGGTGACAGTGGGAGGGCTCCTAGTGACCTGGTCCCACTTGTGGACCTCCTGATGGCACCTGGTGTTTTTGGCCACTGTGTGACACAGAGTGTTGGACTGGATGGGCCATTGGCTTCTCTAATATTTGTATTTGATTTCTGTAACGACTTCAGGAGTTCATGTTATGGTAATGGCCTAGGCCAGCTCTACTCTGCCTCTCCTCATAAATTATACCTGTCAACCCAAAAAATACACGCTTGGGCCTTGCACCTGTCTACCCTTTGGAGATTCAAATAGATAGCCCCTTGCCCTGCCCTGGATAGCCCAGGGAAGCCTGATCCCATCAGATCTTGGAAGCTAAGCAGGGCCAACCCTGGCAAGTTTTTGGATGGGAGACTTACAAAGACTACCAGATCAAGAGGCAGAGGCAGGCTATCAAGTCACTTCTCTGAATGTCCTCCATGCCCAATAGGGGTCGCCAGAGGCCACCATGACTTCCAGCCTCCCCTCTCTGGCCCAATCTGCATCTAGCATTCACTCCGTTATTTTACCAAACCCATACTGGAACAGCAAAAGATGCGGCTCAAAACCACATTCAACTACGCCAGGCCAATGCCGTAGTACCGACTGCGGAGTCACCCCTGAATGGCCATAAGAAAGTACTTCTTCACCCAAAGAGTGATTAACACGTGGAATTCACTGCTGCAGGAAGTGGTGTCGGCTACAAGCATGGACGGCTTCAAGAGGGAATTGGATAAACAGATGGAGCAGAGGTCCATCAGTGGCTATTAGCCACAAGGCATAGATAGGAACTCTCAGTCTGGGGCAAGGGATGCTCTGTATTC